TTACTTAATTATCATCTTCCTTTCACTCTCTCTTACTTTCTTCACTCTTTTTTTTCTGATTGATCAATGAATTATCCTTACTTCCTTTTTTTTCTCTCTCCCTCTCTGTCTCTTACTTTCTTTTCTATTCCTTTCTAATTAATCAGTTTATTGTCACTATTTCCTTTCTCTCTTTCTGTTTCTCTCTCTCTCCATCATCGTGATCTTGATGTCAACCACATCAAGATCAAAGTCTCCGATTATGTTTTTCTTCTCCTTCTTTCTTACATTTCTCTTCTCTCTCGAAATTCCTCTTCTCCTTTCTAACATCCTCTTCTTCTCTCCTCTCGCAATTCCTTTTTTATTTTCTCTGTCTTTCTTCTTCCGATTCCTGAAGCCCCACGAGAGTCTAAAGTCCATCAGGGTAAAAGGGACACAACCTCTGTTTCCTCGAGTGTTTGGCAGCTTATGAACAAAGTTTGGGGTCTGATGCATGGTTTAGGTTCATTATTTTTTTATTTTTAGGGCCTGATCAAGTAAGGTGAAAACTATACAGTGTGGGATATATATAATTTTTTTTTTCATTTTTTTTTCTTTTTTTACATAAAAAAAAAAAAAATCTTCAAGCCACGACATTCTGCATGTTTGGCCCTGGCCGACTACAGTACAAGTTATGACTGACTTAAAAGAGACGCTACTCGAAGACGCTCCGTGAAGCCAGCAAAGGCGAGGAGATGTCGTGACGAAATCCGATGCCCCCCCCCCCTTTCGGACAAGGTGGAAGGGGGGAGTGGCGGGCGAGATACACTGTGCATACCAAATATCATAATCAAAATGAAGAAACATGTTGCCACTAAGTGATGGCCGCGAAGGCACATCACTCTTACAAACGGCTTTATGAAAATACACATAAATAAAACAATTAACAATCAAGATTAGCCCCGCGGTCGCCGTCGAACACAGAGGGTCGACAGGGGGGGGGGGGGGGGGGGGGGAATATATCCATTTCCTACAAATAAATTCCAAAATATAGATCATAAAGGATAAGACAAAAACCACAGACATATTTTTCTAAATATATTGTTTTATAAATATTTACAGATTTTACATTCTCAACCTGAGTAGTGATAATATGTCATGCATTCGGAGTTTTTTTTTTTTCTTTTTCTTTTTCTTTCTTCAGCAAGACATTACTATAATGCCATATAGATTTCCCTTACACATGACGCCCGTACTAAACTCCTGATCCCTCGGCTCTCAGAACATTGGGAGGCAAAAAGAGGTGAAAATTATGAGGTAATGAGAGTGCAATTGCTATTATTTGGTTGATTCTGATTGGGTTTGACTGGACCATACCTGGGATATAGGAAGAACTTCCCAGGAACCCGTACATGCAGAACAGCAACAACTCGAACAGACCAAAAGATACCCATAAAATCGAAAAAAAAAAAAAAAAAAAATAGTAACTGAATAACATGCTGTTTCTGAGGTTACCAATAAACCAAAGACATAAAGTGTGGTAAAAGAGAAAATAAAAAAACACATTTCTCGCCACACGTACACATCGAAGCAAAGATATAAAAGAGAAAAAGAAAAAAAAAAGAAAAAAAAAGAAAAAAAAAACATCAATATTGCTCCAGCCGTTATCCATCTCATATATATATGTCTATATACATATAATATATATGTATATACTTCTATTTTAAGTATTCCTGGATTTGGATCAGGCTCTGAGCGCCCCATTCTGCATGTTTGGCCCTGGCCGACTACAGTACAAGTTATGACTGACTTAAAAGAGACGCTACTCGAAGACGCTCCGTGAAGCCAGCAAAGGCGAGGAGATGTCGTGACGAAATCCGATGCCCCCCCCCCCCTTTCGGACAAGGTGGAAGGGGGGAGTGGCGGGCGAGATACACTGTGCATACCAAATATCATAATCAAAATGAAGAAACATGTTGCCACTAAGTGATGGCCGCGAAGGCACATCACTCTTACAAACGGCTTGATGAAAATACACATAAATAAACAATTAACAATCAAGATTAGCCCCGCGGTCGCCGTCGAACACAGAGGGCGACAGGGGGGGGGGGGACTCATGGAAACAAAGAGTCAAATTGGAACAAAACATAACAAACACACATCTTATTAATTTTCTTTTTCTTTTCTTTTTTTTTTTGGCGTTGATTGCAAAACATCTCCTTTTACATTTTTCGCTGGTCATTCGCGCCTAAATAGAGGTAAGTGCAGGAAGGTATAACAGTGGCAACCCCAAAGAAAATGGAGTCGAGAGAAGGTCGAGAAACTTACAACACGTTTTCTAACAAAAGGCAACAAAAAAATGAATAATAAAAAAAAACAGAGATAAAAAATGCCCACGAATAAAATAATTCGTTAATTAAAAAAACAACAAAAAAACAAAAAAAATTACTGACTAATCAATCAAGAAAATATCAACTGTTTTTCTTTCTTCTCTCCTGTTTTTTTCCTCTTAAAAACACAAACAAACACATATAATCAAATCCGAAAGAATAGAAGGGTTGACTGACTGATTGACCATTCCACGTATCAATCAATTCCTGCAACAAAGACCAAAAAAAAAACAAAAAACAAAAAACGTGTGTGTTTCACCGCCTCAACCTTCCTCGTTGCCAACTCGGTTTAGGGTGCAAAAAAAAAAAATTCACGAGTTAGTTTAAAAATGGATAAACTTGGACTGAAATATATTAAGAATTGCAATATAAAAATCAAAAATGTCTTAATACTTCAAGCTTATAAAAATCCAAAAAATACTATGAAGGGGGGAAAAACAACAATAAATGAATAAAAGAGGGAAAAAAACAACAGGCTATAATTACAAAAATGGGAGGGAAAGAAGGAGAGAGATAAGAAGAGATAAAAATTAAAAGGAAAAGAAGAAAGGAAAACAAACCAACAAAGCACATTGACTTTGCTTTGCAGTGAACATAAAAACAAAAAATCTCTTGTACTTAACCACCTCTTGCTTAGTTTAGTCAATTAGTTTTGTCATATATTATATAAAAAAGTGACTACAAGCAAAATATCTAAATGATTCTCACGGTTCTATGATATATAAAACACTATACATCAAATCAGACACGGATTTCATAAATGGAGTAATGTAAGCGTAGAAGAATTATAAAAAAAAACAAAGAAAATAACAGAAACAAAAATAAAACAAAAATATAAAAATCAGACAGCTCTAGGCTCTAAGGAAACGCGGTTTTCTTCTATCTCAGGATTTTTTTTTCTCTCTCTCTCTCTGTCTCTCTTTTTCTTCTCCAGAAAACATTTACATCAAAACGCACCCAAAGCTATTTACTGGACCAGAATATACCATTTGTTTCAGTTTTATGATTTACCAACGACAGATTTTAGTTTTTGTTGACAATATCATTTTCTTTTTTCATGGACTCGTTGTGTTACAATGACTTAAAAATAATAATAATAAATAAATAAAAAAGCTTGGGACTACTCTGAGAAGACTGAAATCAGAAACGATTATTATTAAAAGGTATATTTAATTATAACTGGTTGTTTGAAAATTCCCTGCGCTACAACGGAGGTGTCTGCGCGTGAGGCAGGAAACGTCATACAATTATCTATAATAATATTTTAAAATTATCTTCTATGTTTCATTCTAAATTCTATCTGAATTATACCTGAATCTTTATTCCCTTTTTCGCAGGGAAAGAGAGAGGAGAGAGGAGAGATAAAAGATGAGAGAGAAGAGAGGAGAGAGAGAGTGAGGAGAGAGGAGAGAAGAGAGCAGAGAGAAAAGAGGAGAGAAAAGAGAGAAGAGAGGAAAGAGAGAAGAGAGGAAAGAGAGAGAGAGAGAGAGAGAGAGAGAGAGAGAGAGAGAGAGAGAGAGAGAGAGAGAGAGAGAGAGAGAGAGAGAGAGAGAAATCCGCTTCTATCAAAGAGAAAAAAAAAAAAAAAAAAAAATCTCCACTAACGAAAATAAAATTGAAAAAAAAAAAAAAAAAAAAAAAAAAAAAAAAAACTTTCCGCCTTGCGAAATATAATGTTGAAAAGCATCAACAAGCTCATGTACTGTACGTAAAAAATAGAAAAACAAAAAAACAAAAAACAAAAACAAAAACAAAATCTATGTGTAAAAATGACCCATATTCTCATATTCCCAATAAAAAGCTGAGCCATGCATAAATAAGTTTTTTTTTCGTATTTTTTTTTTTTAATATTTTAAATAGAGACGATCATAAATAGGAGTGAGCTAAGCACGTATCCCCTACGTAAACAAAGGCCGCAAAGTGCAAGATGGCTCAGTGGACAATCGTTGCAGCGCTTTGTTGCATAAGACTCTTAACTCGCGGGAGAAAAAAAAATAGTAAGAGTGAATTAGTACTATAAGGAGAGGGGTGCGGCTGGGGGGAGGGGGCAGAGAGGAGGGGGGCATCTATAGGCAACTCATTTTAACATACAAATCGTTTTTTTTTTTTGTTTTTTTTTGAACACTGAGGATGCGCCGCGGTGGGAGAACGAACGGACGCAAGAAAAAAAATTGGCTTGAAATTTGGTAAAAAAAAAAAAAAAAAAAAAAAAAAAAAAAAAAACGAAGTAAAATGCAAATCCTCAACTGAATATTTCATAAAAGGAGAGAGAGGAAAACGGAGGAAATTGATGAGTCTCGCTACGAATGACTCTCTCCAACTCTACAACAGAAGCAAAGCCAAAAAGGGAACAGGAGGGGCGTCCGTTGCGCTGGTTTCGCGCCCGGACGCCCGACCGCCCTTCGCTCTCTCCCGCGGCGCCTCCTTCTTCCTTCCTTCCTTCTTCCTTCCGCCCGAGACGCGACGGAAGCTCCCTCCTCCCTCGCGCCTCTTCCTATCCTACGTGTCAACTGACCTTAACCTTAAGTTCCACTCTAATGTTATATCACATCGAAATTTATCTTAATACGTAGTCTGACAATCCAGTTTCATATTTTTTTGTAGATTTTTTTCTTTGTGTGTGTATAATGTAAGTATTAGTAAAAAAAGGAATCACAGTTTTGGTGCCCGTTGCGCCTGAGGCGTCTGGCGCCGCACACGCGCCTCCCGTCGCCTGCGGCTGCGGCAGGCGCCACTCGGCCTCCTCTGCGGCGGCGCGGGAGCCCTCAGGGCAGGTGGCTTCTTGGTCCCCCTAACGAACAGGAAGTCCTCAGACAAATGCATGGAGTCCTTGGCTATTCCGAAGGCAGTGGCGATCTCAGCCGGCGTTGAGGTCGCTGTCGGCGCAGTGCCCCGGGCGCACGCGTGACGCCGGGGCCGCAGGCGGCGCTCTCGGCTCGGCCGGGCCCCGCGCGGCGGCGGCGCCAGGGGCCAGCGCCCGGCGGTTGGGCCACGGAACGTCAGTGGAAGGAGTGCTCGTGCTGGAACGGTTGCCAGGAGCAGCGGTAGCAACAGCAGTAGCTTATGTCAATGTTTATCCGATATAAATTAGCGACCCGACTAGCTTGTGCACATGAGAGGCGTGGTGGGGGCGGCCGCCCGAGGGGGGGCGGCGGCCCCCACGCCAGCACCGGCGGGCAGCGCCAGCCGCGCCGGCGGGGTCGGTGCTGCAGGAGGTTTCCGAGGCCTCTGGTCACCGACTGCAGGATGTGGCAGTGTTGGGGCTGACCCCACGGGGCCCCAGGGGGTCCTCGTCCCCCCCGGCCCATGGCTCGGGGGGGCGGCGAGGGTTCGCGGAGTGGTCGGCGGGTCGGGACAGCCGTCAGAACATGACCTCCTGCATGTCTGTCGGGGTGGTGGACGTGGACGTGGACAGCGACTCCGCGTTCGACTGCGTCCAGATCTCGATCTGGCGGTGGCACTCCTTCAGGCAGTCCTGCGGGGAAAGGCGGCGTTAGTACACAGCACCCAAACGGCACACAAACAAACATACAAACAAATAAACAAACAAATGAAACAAGGCCTCAGCGCCGGGGGGGGGGGGAGGGCCTGCTGACTCTTCCCGCCGGCGCCTCCCTCCCTTCCCCGCCCACTCGCGACCCGAGACGCCTTCGCCAGGGGAGGAAGGGAGGGGGGGGGGTGCAAATGGAGGATGAGGAGGACGGGAAGAGGAGAAGAGTGGGAAGAGATAGAAAGGAATGGGGGGAGAAAGGAGGGAAACACGGAGAGCAGGGAGAGGAAGGAAAGACAGGGAAAAGGGCAGAAGGAGCAGAAGCAAGAAGACACTCGGATGTAAAATGAGCAGGAAGGAAGGGAGGAAGGAAGGGGGGAATGAAGGGAGGAAGGGAGGGAAGAGCCGGCTTCTGCGGGTGCCGGCTGCGCGTAACGGCTCGACCCGTGGCACTTCCGGCGAGGCGAGCAAGGGAGGGGGGAGGGGCGGGGCACCAGCGGCAGTCACGGTCATTATGGGGTCGGAGTACAGCCCCTTTGCCCCTCCCCCCCCTCCGCCCATGTCGCCTCTCCTTGCCAACGGATAAAGCCTCCCCCCCTCCCCCACAGAGTCAACTAATACGCCATCGAAAAAAATAGAAAATCGGTGGCAATACTAATAATAATAATGGTAATAATAAAAATTTTCCTACTACTATTAACAGCAAATCAACAATAATATTAATAACAATAACACTAATATCAATAACAACAACACAAATAAAACTAAGTAACAAGAAAAACATAGTAATAACATCGCCGTTACCAATATCACTAATGGTAAATCCATCTTACAAAAAAAGAAAATGGGAAAGGGAATGACACATAACGAAGAAGAGACACAGAAGAAGAGAGAGAAAAGAAGAGACAGAGAAGAAGAGGCACAGAAGAAGAGAGAGAGGAGAAGAGAGAGAGGAAGAGACAACAAACAAAGGAAGGTCGGAGGTCGTGCCATATCTCACATTTTAGCGCGAAACGACAAAGAGTTAATTTGATCGCCTTCTGTCCATTATACCTTTTTGGGGGGTGACATCCATATAAAAAAATACTTTTATAATTCATCTTATTCATCATAAATTTAGATTTACTTATTATATCCTTACTAATAGTATTATTATTGAAAAATTATTCACCAATAATCCTACAAGAACTACTTCTTGTCACACATTAAAATAGATACAAGAAAAAAATAATCAATAATGCAAAACAAAAAAAGATCAACAAGCCTAAACAAAATTGAAAATCCTCAAAGCACATACACACAATTTTATGCATCTCGCGAAAAGAAAATTAAGCAAAATAACACCAAATAAACGAAGTGTCAAAGACGTCACGAAAAGGGGGAAACGGAGATAAAACAAATAAAGAAAACAAAAAGAAAACGGAGTATCCCCCTTCCCCCCTGCCCCCCCCCCCTCAGCTAGGGCACAGACGCAAGAAGGTCAAAGGTCATGGGTCGTGTAGGGTCACCAGAAAACGACCACTTGAAGATTTCCTTCCTCGAAAATGAAGAAAAAATGAAATAAATATGGTGTAGACTACTAAAAATAATGAAGGAGGATATGTATATAATGTTTGTGCATTTGTTCACACATGTGTGCATAGAAATGTGCGTTTGTGTGCATGTAAATGTGTGTGTGTGTGTGTGTGTGTGTGTGTGTGTGTGTGTGTGTGTGTGTGTGTGTGTGTGTTTTGTATGTGTGTGTGTGTTTGTGTGTGTGTGTAGTCATTAATAATAATAATAATAATAATAATAATAATAATAATAATAATAATAATAGAAATAAAAACAAAATAAAAAAATTATAAAAATACATTCTCAAAATCCTTTGTTCTCGATAGGCCTACGAAACGCGAGTGCATATTATTACAGCCTCAAGTGGGCTCACAAAGACCCATTCTCTGGAGGCAGGGAATCCTCTCCTCCTCCCCCCTCCCCCTTCTCCCTCACCCCCCGTCCTAACTGCATCCTTGAAAAATCGGCTCAAAATCCCCCCCTCCCTCCCCTTCCCCCTCCCTCTTTACCTCGGTTTATTTTATTAGTTTTGTGTTTGTAAACATCTTCGTCTATAAAGTGGGCTGAGGACACTGAAGGGGACGTCAAAACACGGCCTCAGAGGAACCCCCTGGGAGGGCTGAGGGGGGGGGCGGCCAAGAGGGAGGGGGGAGGAGAGGGAGAGGGAGAGGGGAAGATAAAAAAGAGAAAAAGTTGGAAGTAATCCCGTGGGAACATTGGGGAGACAGTGGTCGGTCTAGAGTATATATATATATATATGTATGTATATATATATGTATATATATATACATATATATATATATACACACACACACATATATATATATATATATATATATATATATATATATATATATATATATATATATATATATATGTGTGTGTGTGTGTGTGTGTGTCTGTGTGTGTGTGTGTGTGTGTGTGTGTGTGTATGAATACAGTATGAATACAGTACGTATGTTTATGTATACAGACACATACACCCGAAGTGTATGTATTACAGTTCCCGTGTCTGCAACTGAACATCCCACATTCACTGCACACCAGCTTTCCTCTCGTCCAAAAAAAATATGTCCAGAACTGAGAGTCACAAGCCAGCGACATCAAAGACGACCGAAGCGTAAAGGTACGTACGTACACGGACAGAAAAATCGCCCCGAACTTAGGATATTGGGTAACATGTCTCTCTTTTCTTTCCGTGCGTGAAGGCGGACTGGCGTCTAGGGAGAGGGAAGGAGGGAAGGAGGGAGGGGAAGGAGGGAGAGGGTGGAGGAAAGAGGGGAGAGGAGAGAGGGAAGGAGGGAACAGGGGATGGAGAAGGGGAGAGGGGAAAAAGGGAAAGAAGAAAATATAGGAGAAAGGGAAGGAAGAAAACAGAGGAGAAAGGAAAAGGAAAAGAATAAAGGAAAGAGAGAGAAGAGAATAGTAGGAAGAGGAAGGAGAGGAGAAGAGAGGAGACGAGAGGAGGGATGAAGGGAGAGGTCAAGGAGGCAGGGAAAAGGGTCACTACACCCCCCCACACACACAGTGGCTGTCGAGGGGCGGCGCAGAGGTCACGAGGGGAGAAGGAGGCCCGCCCAGCCTTTTTATTGGCGGTTCTGACCTTTCTCACAAGACCTGGCTCCAAAATATGACCTGACCTGACATCCTTATGGGCGTGGGGAGGGGGGAAGGGGGGGGAGGGAGAAGGAGAGGGGGAGCCAAAGAGGAAAAGGAGAAGAAGGAGACGAGGGGAGGAGAAGGAAGAGGGGCAAGAGAAAGAGGGAAAGGAGAAAAAAAGTAGAAAAAGGGAAAGGAGAAAAAAATAGAGAAAGAGGAAGAGGAAAAAGGGACACAGAAATAAAGATAGATAGAGAGGGAAACTCTTGTCTTCCTCCCCTCTCCCGCCTCCCAAACCGAGGGGAGTTACTTCGAACTTCCGGTGGAATGAGGTGGGTGGAGATGGGAGGGAGGAAGGGAGGGAGGAAGGGAGCGAGGGAGAGAAAGAAGGAAAAGGGAAGAGGGAAAAAGGGAGGGGGGGAGAGAACGAAGGGAAAGGGAAAGAGAGAGGGAGGGAGGCAGGGAGGGAGAGAAATACGCTTCTAGAGAAAGGATTGTGAGAGGGAATGAGAAAAAAAGAAAAATGAAAGAAAGAAAGAGAGAGAGAGAGACCAGTCAAAACATTATCAACAGCGTGAGTGAGTGCTTTATTGTCACACAAACTAATTTGTTTCATGACTGTCCTGAGCTCGGGATGCGTGCACTCGCCCACGCACACAAACGCCCACTGTAGTTAAGATTTTCCACTCAGGAAGAAGTAGAGATAAGGAGAGCCAGACAGACAGACAGACGGACAGACAGATATGAAGTAAGACAGACACAGAAAATACACACAAACACACACACAAACGAACCCCTCCTCCTACACCAACCCCCCAACCTACCCCCGCCACACCCCCTTACCCCCCCCCCCTACAAAGGACTGAGAAAAATCCTTCAGCGCACCTTCGCTCTAGCCCCCCCCCCCCCCCGCCCACCCCGCCCCTCGAGAGGCCGTCGCTTATCGCTCGTTTGTTTGCACACAGTATCGCCCCAGATTGCAAAGCGAGCGAGCCTGCAAGGAGGGTCAGGGGGCGGCAACGGACAGTGAAATCTAAAGGGGGGGGGGGGTAAAAGGCTAAGGGGTAAGGGGGGGGGGAGGGCGAGAGGAGCAACAATGTGGGTGAAGATTAATGAGTGACGCACATGGACGCACGCACGCACACGGACCTAACGCACACGTTGATATTCGTTAGAAATAGAAAACGCCGGAATCCAAATCCTAGGAGGATAAAATTCCCCATTATTTTTTATATTTATTTTATATAATTTAAGAAATCATTATTTTTTTTAATCAAATTTAATTTATTTTCTAAAATTCATATTAAATGTGTTTTGAAAAATAATCCTCAAATAATTTTCTCTATCTATATATAATTATCTTGTCATTATATCATTACTGACTGTATGATACGTCTCGAAAAGCATAAGAAAAGACAATAAACTTTTTTTTTTCTCGAATTATCACTGAAAACATATAGAAGCGCCTTACGTGTGTAATTCAACTGACCCGTGACCGCAACGGGGAGACAACAGACATAAAATAGCGGTGAATTATCAAACAGACCAAGACCGGGATTTATCTAAAAGCCTCACACTCCTCTCCCCCCCCCCTCTCTCTCTCTCTCTCTTATCCCCTCCTCCTTCTATTCCGCGCCTTCGCTAACCTCTCTCTCTTTCTCTCATACTTTCTTCCCTACCTCTCTGTCCCTTCTCCCCTTCTCCTCTTCCTCCCCACTACCTCGCCTCTCCCCCCCCCTCTTCCGTGCACCGCGAAACGTTGACGCAACAAGAGAAGTGTTTTAAAGGCCCTCTGTCCCCTCCCCCTCCCCTCCCCACCAGGCCCCCCTCCCGCTCCTTCCCCCCTCCCCCAACCCCCACTAAGCCTGTCCCAATGATAAACACATAAACATTCGCATACACACTCTTAACTGCTGGTGTATATTAAGAGATTGCATTCGGCGGAGGGGCCCGGAGAGGGGGAGATACGGAGGGAGGGAGAGGGAGAGATAGGGAGGGCGATAGGGAGGGAGGGAAGGGGATAGGGAGGGAGGGAGGGGGATAGGGGGATAGGGAGAGAGGGAGGGCGGCGTGGGAAGATTGGGTAAAGGGAGAGGAGAGAAAGGAGGGAGGGAAGGGAAGGAAAGGAAGGAGGAAGGAAATATGAAAGAAGGAAAATAGCCATTTTCATGCGGCAGAAATACACCAATTCCCCCCCCCCCCATAGGATTCCCTAGAACAAGTGATCGAAAAAAAAAAAAAACGATTTATTTACAAGTATTTTCTTCAAGAGAAATGGGGGAGGAGGAGGACGAACAGCTGATCGCTTGTCCCGCCCGTCCGGCCAGAGTCGCCGAGGCCGCCGCCATCTTTGTTTGGGTTCTGAGTCAATGAAAAGTTTCGTTTCGTTTCGAGAAGGAGGAGGGAGAGGGAGAGGAAGAGAAAGAGGAGGTGAAGGAGGAGGAGGAGGAGGAGGAGGGAGAGGAAGAGGAGGAGGAGGAGGGAGAGGGAGAGGAAAAGGAGGAGGGAGAGGAAGAGATGGAGGAGGAGGAGGAAGGTGAAGAGAAGAGAAAGAGAAGGAGGAGGAAGAGGAGGAGGAGGAAGGTGAAGAGAAGAGAGGAGGAGGAGGAGGAGGAGGAAGAGGAATAATAAGAAAAAGAATAAGAGGAGGAAGAATAAGCAGAGGAGATGGGCGTAACGTCACGAGCTGTCTGGGTTGATGCCGGCGTTTCTGCCAGCGACCGGAAGGGGAAGAATGCATCGGCCGCGCGGGGGGAAAGGAGGAGGCGGACGCAGGTGAGCGAGAGGGAGAAGGGGAGGAAGAGGAGAGAAAAAAAGAGAGGAAAGAAGTAAGGAAGGAAGGAAGGAAGGAAGGAAGGAAAGGAGAGAGGGAAATGGGGAGGGAGAGAGGGAGGAAGGGGGAGAGAGAGAGAGAGAGAGAGAGAGAGAGAGAGAGAGAGAGAGAGAGAGAGAGAGAGAGAGAGAGAGAGAGCGCAGGGTGTGTATGTATTTGCGGGTGGGCGCGAGGGGGGTCAAGGCTCAGGTCAAGTGCGGGCGTGAGTCATCCGGGCGGC